TATATATATATATATATATATATATATAATATATATATATATATATATATATATATATATATATATATATATATATATATATATATATATATATATATATATATATATATATATATTTGGACATTTCATAGGGACCATAAAGACACGTCCTTAAGCTTAAGGACGTGTCTTTATGGTCCCTATGAAATGTCCAAAAGACGTGACTTATGGACATGCTTTTTACGTTTGTACTTTTGGTACATGATATTTAGGTGACTATGGTCTCGAAGAAATGAACAATTTTGCTCATTTCATAGTAACCAAAAAGTCACCTGAATCTCACGTACCAAAAGTAACGTGAAAAGCACGTCCATAAGTCGCGTCTTTTGGACATTTCATAAGGACCAAAAAGTCACGTAAATATCACGTACCAAAAGTAACGTGAAAAGCACGTCCAAAAATCACGTTTTTTGGTCATTTCATAGGGACCAAAAAGTCACCTAAATGTCACGTGCCAAAAGTAACGTGAAATGCACGTTTTTATCACGTCGCTGTGCCCGCTGGGTATGAAGTTTTCATGACAATTTTTCATCTAAAAGCACTCCTAGAAATCTATAAAGACACCAATTGTATAGCAATCAATATTAAATCCAGTTGATATGTTTTTAACCAATTTAATTATTGCATGGTCAGTAGAGTGGTTTTTTTTTAAACCAGGACTGTGGAGTCGGAGTCGGAGTTGCGGAGTTGCGACATTTTTAGCGGAGTCGGAGTCGGAGCCGTTAAACAAAATCACGACTCCGACTCCAATAGTAAAACTTCTCGGTATTGCACGTGCATATACAAAACATTCAATTACCCTTATGTTCATACTAAACCTCAAAGAACGTTTCATAAATTTGTCAAAAAAAATTTTTTAACTTATCGCCTAATATTTTTTAAAGAATTTTTCAAAAATTTTGCTTTGGAGTTGGAGTCGGAGTTAGAGTTGGAGTCGCAGTCAGAGTCGGAGTTGTGCTCAAAAAATTTCAACAACTGTAGTCGGAGTTGTTACTTTTTTTTTAAGACTCCACACCCCTGTTTTATGTCATACTGATTACAGTAAAATCTTATTTTCAATTAAATATCTATAAAGTTTGTTATACATAAAGCGTTCAATTAGTTTAGAAAAGCAAGGTAAGACTGAAAAAGGTCTGTAGTTTGAAATATTAGTCTCATCCCCAGATTTGTAAATTGTAAATTTAATTTATCTGGAGTATGACCTGGTTTAAGTGAGTGATTAAAAATATGGAATAACAAGGATTTGATAATATTAAAAGCAGATTTAATTACATTAAGATTAATTTGATCATAACCTGAATTTTTACTTTTTTTTAAGACTATTAAAGCATTATGCAGTTCACTTTTTTTCAAAATTGGTTCGTCCATAATTATATTATTTGTTGTAAGATATAAATCAAATCTTTTTTGACTAAATTGAAATATAGCTGTTAAATGCTGACGTAATTTTAAAGGAGTGTTTTTTCACTTTTTCTCAAATTCATTCATAACAATCATTGCAAGGTCATTAACTCATTCAAATGTTTACAAAACTTACTTTTCAAATGTCTGTTGTTCTTCACTCGAAATTTCAGCGCGATTATCACGTAAGATAATCTGAATAGTTAAATTTATTTTTTTTGGACAGGAAAAAATTTTGTAATTTTTTTTTTTCAAGTTGTAGAAGATTTTGAGATGTATTTAAATATATAAAAACCTAATAATTTTTGGAAAACCAATTAATAAAGAAAATATTTTTTTTTTATGTGATTATGTTGAGTCTTTAAAAGGTTTTTTATTTTTTTTTATTTTTTTGTTATTATTTTTACGTGCCCGCGGTGCTCTCTGACAAGCCTAACGGTCTTGTCACAGAGCACCGCGGAAGTGCATTTAATAAGGAAGTTTACGCCTCCTTCCTTACCGTGACGCGAAAATATGTCCAAAGCTCTTTTCGAGCCTGGATCTCCTGCTTATAAAGCAAGCGCTCTAACGTTCTGAAGGCAGTAGTCAAATCTAGGTCATTTAAGTTGAAAAGTTGATTACTTCAAAAACATTTATGACAAAATGTTTACGACTAATTATAAAACCAAATTTTTAAAGAGAACGAACTCTTTGGTGTATTTCCTAATGAAAAAATCAACTTTTAAAGGGGGTCAGAGCAGTTTTTTTCTCTGCCTTTGTCCCCCGCCCCTTCCTCCTTTTTAAAAAAAAACCATCACAGACAAAATAAAAACTCATTGATAGATTTCAAATTTCAACAAAAAATATTAATGCGTTCCAAAGATATGGGCATTTAAATTTACACTACAATATATTAAATTTACTTGATTTGTAAATCATTTTTAAAATAAGGGTGTAAGTTTACACTTAACATTAGGATACATATATAATAATGTATGATAATAATTTATTATAATCTGGAATATTATAAGGCATTGTGTAAAATTTTCTGCAACATGATATTATATTGCATGGTAAAATA